AAACAAGCAATTCTCTAATGAAGACATACAAATGGCCAACAGGCACTTGAAAAAAAATGCTCAATATTCCTAATTATTACAGAAATGCAAATCAAAACTACAATGAGACATCACATCACCCCAGTCAGAATGGCCATCATTCAAAAGTCCACAAACGATCAATGCTGGAGAGGCTGTGGAGAAAAGGGACCCCTCCCACACTGCTGCTGGGCATGTAGTTTGGTGCAGCTGCTATGGAGAACACTACGGAGATTCCTCAAAAAACTAAAAATAGGCTTACCACATGATCCAGCAATCCCACTTTTGGGCATATATCCAGAGAGAACTCTACTTTTTAAACATACACGCACCCCAACGTTCATAGCAGCACTATTCACAATAGCCAAGACATGGACACAACCTAAATGTCCAACAACAGATGACTGGATAAAGACGTTGTGGTATATTTATACAATAAAATACTAATCTCCCATAAAAAATAATAAAATAATGCCATTTGCAGCAACATGGATGGACCTAGAGATTGTCATTCTAAGTGATGTAAGCCAGAAAGAGAAAGAAAAATATGATATTACTCACATGTAGAATCTAAACAAAGAATAAAAAGAGGACACTAATGAACCCATCTACAAAACAGAAAGAGATTTGCAGACCTAGTAAACAATTTTTTGGTTACCAGGGGGAAAGGGGGTGGGGAGAGATCAACTTTGAGAGTTTGAGCTTTCCAAACGTTACCCACTATATATAAAAGTAGATTAAAAACAAATTTCTTCTGTATAGCACAGGGAACTATATTCAATATCTTGTAATAACCTTTTATGAAAATGAATATATGTATGTATATGCATGACTGGGACATTGAACCATCCACCAGAAGTTGCCACATTGTAACTGACTCTACTTCAATTAAAAAGTAAAAGATGTTTTTAAAAAAGTAAAAGAAAAAGAAACCTCTTAGAGGTTTTAAGCAGGGAAATGACAGAAAGTGAGTGTGAAACAAGATCACTATGGCTACTCTTTAGAAAATGGATCCAGATGTCCAAGAAGAGAGGGGAAGGCCAGTTAGGAGAATATTACCATAATCCAGCTGTGGCATGCTCTGGGGTGCAGTGAAATGGAGAAAAGAAGGATTTTCTGTTTATGTTTATTCGCTAGGTAGAAAAAGAAAATTGAACTGCTGGTTACAGTTTAAATATTACTGTATGCCAAGTATACATTTTAACAAGCGGAAAACAAAATAAATCATGAAGGAACTTGTGGAACTCCCATTAAGCAATATCTACACATGTGTATGTACATATATATGGAATTAAACAATATGTACTCTTTGTGTCTGACACATTTCACTCAACAAAATTTATGTTTTAAAAATTCATAGATGTAGTTGAATGTATCAGTAATTCATTTATTTTTTAAAAGAGCATTCCTTTGTTTTAATATTAATATATCACAGTCTGCTTATTCATGCTCCTGTTGGTGTTAATTTCGGTTGTTTTTTCTGCTTGTGAATAAGCCTGCCGTAGACAGTCTTGTTTAAGCCTTTTAGTGGGTGCCGGGGAAATACATTCCAATTTTCTTGAGTGAATATCTGAAGTGAAATTGCTGGATAACAAACTAGCAGCAGGGCTAACTATACAAGACATTGCTACAAAGTTCTTCCATGTCTTTGGACTAGTATTTTGAATGATCACCAGCAATGTGTGAGAGTTCTAATTCTTCCACCTCCTCAGCAACTTTAAGCGTTGCAAGTCTTTCGGTTTTCGCCATTCTGATGGCTGTGGAGCAGTGTTTGCTTCTCATTATAGATTGCGTATCCTTGATGATGGGTCATGTTGAGCACATTTTCATGTGGCTTCAGGTCACTTGAATGTCTTCTTTATTTACATAAAGATCTTTATTATTTGATGAAGAAAGCTATAGAAAATTAGGAAGAATTTCTTTTGGGGAGGGGGCAGTTAACACTTTTATTGTAGTATGATTCCTGTACAGTAAAGTACACACATTTCAGATGTGCAATATGATGATTTTATTAGATGTGTACACCCATGAAACCACTACCATAATCAAGACAGCTAAAATTTTCATCACTCCCCAAGAGGTGCCAATTATGAACCCCTAATTTTACCTTTCCCACCCCATTTACTTCCTCGTAACCATAAGTTTGTTCTGTGAGTCTGTTTCTGTTTTGTAGATAAGTTCATTTGTGTCTTTTTTTTTTAGATTCCAGATATAAGTGATATCATCTGGTATTTTCTTTCTCTTTGACTTCTTCATTTAGAATGACGATCTCCACGTCCATCCATGTTGCTGCAAATGGCATTATTTTATACTTTTATGGCTGAGTAGTATTCCATTGTGTGTGTGTGTGTGTGTGTGTGTGTACCACATATTCTTTATCCAGTCATCTGTCAATGGACACTTCGGTTGTTTCCACGTCTTGGCTGTTGTAAATAGTGCTACTGTGAACATTGGGGTGCACGTGTCTTTTCAAATGATATCTTCTTTCAGATATATACCCAGGCGTGGGATTTCTGGGTCATATAGTAAGTT